AATCTTCACCCACCCTATTATTGTGTGTTAGTAGTGTATTCTTTTTTTTTTTTTTTTTGGAGACAGGATTGTACTATGTTGCCCAGGATGGAGTGCAGTGGCTATTCACAGATACAATCATAGCTCACTGCAGTCTCGAACTCCTGGGCTCAAGTGATCTTCTGCCTCAGTCTCTCGAGTAGCTAGGACTATAGGTGCACACCACCATGTCTGGCTATTTGGCGGGGGGGTGGGGAGTAGAGACAAGGTCTTGTTATGTTGCCCAAGTTGGTCTTGAACTCATGGCCTGAAGTAGTCCTTTGGCCTTGACTAAAGCACTAGAATTATAGACATGAGCTACCATGCCCAGACAGTAGTGTATTCTTTAAAAACATGTTGCAAGAAAAAATCTATTCCCTGAACACAGTTTTTTTATATGAAGTAATTCCTTAACAGGTAAAACTAAGTTACTTCATTGTTCTATAAAGCCTGAACAATGTTTGCAGTAGTAGGTAGGGCTGACTAGAAAGGAACAGGATAGAAATTACTGGGGTGATGAAAATAGTCTGTATATTGATTGATGTGGCTGTCACAAAGAATTGCATGTTTGTCAAAATTCACCAAAAATACATACTATCTTTGTTTGTGTATATAAACAAAACCTCAATTACTTTAAAAAAAAATGGTACGTTTTTGACCCTACCAAAAAGTGATTTACTTTTGGTTATAAGTAATAATATCAAAACCTTACAAATGCCACCTCATAACTGCCTTCTGGTTAGTTACAAATATTCCCCATCAATATCTATACCCCCACTCCACACATATCCACTAAAAGGTGAATACTACCATCCAATACTTAAGGTCAAAACAATTATCACCGTGAAGGTCAAGTATTTTACTTATAAATATTTAATACTGTTTCATAGAAATGGTAATAAATAGTCAAACATTCTTTATTTCGTCTATTTAAATAATGAGAAAATAATGCTGAAACTATACAATGTCAAAACACAACATATGTGTGGACCAGCTGTTTGAAAAGATAATATGTGCTCCCTAAACTACTTCACAGGAATGTCTTGAAGATTAATGAGATAATGGACTGGATCCTTTTGAGTGGGTGAACTACTTGCTGTGGGTAATTTGGGAACCTTAGGGTACAGTAAATCCACCAGGACACAGACTACAATTACTACCCCAAAGCAAAATGGTAGACTTAAAAACTTATATTCTGATAATTGAGATTTTAAATATTCAGAATGGTGCTTTTCGAAGTATAATATATGCCTGGAATGTACTTTAATTCCTTAAATTAAAAAAAAAAAGAAAGCTTCTATTCTGTGCGTTAAACAATAAAGCTCTTCTTTTTAACATTTAAGAGTTCATCATTATGCTAGTCACCCAAGGATACAAAATAAAAAGATGCAGTCACTGCCCTCGAGAAGTTCACATTTAGTGAGTAAAACATACAAATAAATAATTTAAACACAGTATGACAATACTTCTGTGCACCTGGTCTTACAGAAATAATGGACGAGGTACCTAACCCAGAATGAGGTGGGGTCTGTGAGGTGGAAGGATGAGGCCAGAGAAGGCCTTTGGGAAGCAGTGGCCCCTGCGCAGATGGACACTAGAAGGATGTGGCCGCCTTCAGTCAAAAGGGAGGGCTTAGGGACTGTGCAGGAGTGTTGGGGCTAGATCCAACAGATGCAAAGAAATGAAGAAAGCCAAGGAAGCACAGGGCACTGCTGGAGGCCTCCCGGGCCAGGCAGGGCAGGAGATGGCAAGGCAGAGGCCAGGAGGGGCGGGCTGGAAGTATTTTCTGTAAGGAATCAAAAATATGCACCTGGAACTCTGGAGAAGATTTAGATTGGGCAGCCAACAGCCAGAAGAAAGTAACTGAAGTCCTCACTAGGAGACTATTACAGAAATCCTGACAGCAGGTAAGGTGAAGAAGAGACAGGAGAAAGAAACTGGGGCAAATTCAGTCAGGTATGGGGAAAAAAAAATTCCCATAGTATGCCACGAATCGAAAGGAGCAAAGAGCAGGAGGGAGTAATTCACAGTGACAAACAAAGAAGGCAAGGCTACAGTACTGCTTGGATTTGATAACTCGCTGAGGTTTGGGGTGCCCTCGGCAAGAGTAATTTCTGTGAGATGATGGATGACAGCGGAGAGCAGAGCTCATGCAGACTACGGTTTCAGTAAGTGTGGCTGTGAAGGCAAGAGTGGACCACAGCTTAGGGGGGATTTTGGCTGAAGAACAGTCCTGTGAAAGATATCAGCAGGGGGCTGGTAGTGTCCAGAAGAGGACCTATTCCCTGAGAAGAGAGAGCAAGCCCCACGGGTGGGTTTTGACACCACGGAGTTGGGTCATGGTGGGAAGGAAGTTGAGGGAAATCGTCTTCTCACTTTGGTACCATGAGACCTTACTTCTGTAAAACAAGAACAGCTAGGTCGGTTTCTGGTCTCCCAAATATGACTTTAAGGAAAGAAAGTTAAATACCCATCTAAAATAAGTATAAAAGTGAGAGTTACACATGTCATAAAGTTCACCGAATTGCTTATTCACCATGACATAAATCAAAAGTGTTTAAAATGAACTTAATTTTTTTCTAAAATTAGTTCCTTTCACCCTTACAGATTACATCACTTGGTTGTCAACCACTGATAAATAATACAACCTAATATACAATAATACACTGTATCAATAAAGGTTTCTTAGTAAACAAAATTAAAAGCTAACTTTAAACACACACAATTATAAATTCTTCATGACATTTTAAAAACCTCAGGAAGAGATAATATCTCTACAAAAAAGTCACATTTCTTTTGATCATACAAATGGGCTAAGGCAACAACTTGTAGAAACTGTTATTTGTATTTATGTTGAATGAATGTATAGTATGCATGAAAGTTGGTTCCCATACTGTGTGCAACATATGTTCTAGCACAATGGATCACTAACTGTATGGGTATATGCTCACTGAAAAATTGGCTTAATATCTCAAAGTGCTGTTCCTTTCCACCCATCCATCTCACCTACTTGTAAGGTGGTACCTCACTACTATTAATACAGGCTTCTGTGGCCTCCCAAAAAATGTACCATATACCTACACAAGGGAAGATTCATTACTATTAAAGGCATGGCAAATTAAACATTTTCTATAATGATATAATTCCTAAAGATATTAAATTCTTTATCTAAAACGTTTTAGATCTAAGATAAATAAGACAATAAAAAATAAATTCATTACGCCTTCCCTAAAATCTATAAAAATAAAAAATTATTTTTAAGTGAAATAAGCAAAATGAGTAACAATGAGAACTGTATGTGACCATCTGAATAAATTCTTAAATGGGTGGATAGAGAGCTGAATATTTACAGAGACACATACACATTCAAATATATTTAAAATACTTCAAAGTATGTGCTTTTGAAAGTTGTTCATCAGATGCTAGAGAGGAAGTGGAGAAAAGGGAACACTTCTACACTGTTGGTGGGAGTGTAAACTAGTACAGTCTCTGTGGAAAGCAGTGTGGTGATTCCTAAAAGATCTAAAAATTGACCTTCCATAAGACCCTGCAATCCCCCTACTGGGAATATACCCGAAGGAACTCAAATCACTCTATGAAAAAGATACCTATGACCAGGCTCGGTGGCTCAGCCTGTAATCCAAGCACTCTGGGAGGCTGAGGTGAATGGATTGCCTGAGCCTGCAGGTTCGAGACCAGTCCGGGCAACTTGGCAAGACCTCATCTCTACAATAAATAAAAAAATTAGCCAGATGTGGTATCACACGCCTATAGTTCCGGCTACTTGGAAGGTTGAGGCGGAAGGATCATGGGAGCCCAGCAGGTCGACGCCGGGGTGGCCATGAGTGTGCCACTGCACTCCAGCCTGGGCAACAGAGTGAGACTCCAACTAAAAAAAGAAAAAAAAGATACCTGCACACGTATGTTTACTGTAGTATTATTCACAATAGCAAGAACATGGAACCAACCATGCTGTCCCTCACAAGAAGACTGGATTTTAAAAAACGTGGTACATATACACAGTGGAATATTACGCAGCCATAAAGGAGGATAAAACCATGAACTTCACAGTAACCTGGATGGGCTTAGAGTCTATAATACTGAGTGATCTATCACAGAAACAAAGAACTGAGTATTACATATTCTCATTCATAAGCGGACCTTGAACAATTATTGTACTATTATAAGAAAAGGATTGGCAGTAGTGGGAATCTACTGGGGGGGGCAACTCATCAATAAGGGTACCTGCATAATGAGCATTTGTATACCTAACCCTGGATTGTACCCCACATCTTTAAAATAAAAAAATTAAAAGTAAAAAATAATAATAATAATAAAATAACCAGTGATGTTAAAAAAAGAAAGAAAGAAAGTTGTTCATGACCTCAGTTATCCTCTGCCCTAGACTTACCATGTCAGGTATGTGACAGATTTAAATGCTGTTAAAATGAGAGGTGGGGAGCCTCCTAGTTATGCTGTCTTCCAGAGCCACTGATGAATGCTAATCTTCCCATCTCCACCCTAACCCGCCATCCTCTACCCTAACCTACAAACAGCCACGTCTTCGGGTCATGTGCCAACGTGCCAATGCCCAGTTCTTTCCATGGCAAGTACAAGGAGGGACCCCGTTGGAAGATGCAGTGGTCGTGGAAAGGGGAGTTCAACAGCTCTGGATATCCTCAGGCCCCTACAACTGTGCTGAAGAAGAAAGCTCATTCCTGTCCAGGCAGGCAGGCAGGCAGGCAGACAGACAGACAGACAGACTGACCAGATACCTTTTCTCCCTCTCTGTCCCTATTAGCACAACTCTACATACATGCCCCAAATACCAAGATGGGTATTTCAGTTAAATATCAATCACTAAGAAAGTGGAATTTAAAATAAGGAAACTCACTTTGTAAAATGTTTACTCTTTTGTATGACTAGATGTGTTGGGGATTACTTTTCTGATACGTTTGCTTTCAACAAAAAGGAAAACTTACTGTTGATGTGATCGATGTAGTAGACACCAATCTGAGGGTCAAACCCTGCTTCCCATCCCCACGGCAGCTCATCCCCAACACAATCAGCAAATGACAAGGGCTTCGTTAACCTATAACAAACCAGAACAGATACAATGCGTCAAAAACCACGTGTCAACATTCAGCATCCTAACTGCAAGTCAAGTGTCCAGGCTGCATTTCTTTTTTTGTTGCTGTTCTTGTTTCCATTTCAAATGCACTACTGCATTTGAAATCTTAAAGGAAAAACAGAAAACAAGGATAAGATAGAGCTGAATATCCAAAAATGTAGGATAAGTCATAATAACCTTCCGAAAGTTCACAGTTTAAGGGAGGGAGATAAATCTAGACAATAAATTTAAAAAATCATCTTAAACCAAGCAGAACTCAAGCTGAGAGTGAGGAGGCTTGGGATCTAGCACTAGCTCTGCAGTAAACAACTAGCCCATTAAAAAGAAACACTTACCTCAGGATTCAAATACTTCCATCATAAAAATCATATTAGTACCTCTAAATGAGATATGTGCCAGGCTACACTAATTTCAGAACTGATGCTCTTTTATAAATTAAATTAACTGTGAGGTCTACCATGAGTTCTCCATGAGAGAAAGGAAAAACATGTCTTATTTTTATAGGTATTTTATACATAACAGTCATTCAACAAAACTTTTAATGGAAGCAAATATATAACGTATTCATACAGCAATGTGATATTACCTTCTGAAACTGTTTATGCTCTCTCTTAAAAAACTGCTTTCTCTTGAAGACACTTTCTCTTTGGGACTTTTTTCTTCAAAACAAATGGGGAAACAGAACTATTTCCTAAGCAGAATACAGGTTTCATATTTAATTACAGGTTGACTTTTTCCTCTCACTCCTTTCCGTTTTGCTTTTGAAATCTTCCTTGGGTTTAGAGCAGCCTTGGGCAGGTTAACACTCAGATGAGAGAATGCCCTGTTGGAGGGTGGCCACCATCAGTCAACACATTTTCTAATTTAATACACTGGCACCACAAGCATGGTTCTTACATACGAAATCTCCTGGAATCCCTTTTATTCATGCTAATGAACAGCAAAGATCTCATAGTACAACTGAAATATAGGTCATTTTCAGAATCGTATCATTCATCAGAATAACAAAGTACATCATCCACCTTCAGAATGGTAGAAGAATGATCTGAAAAGGAGGGAAATCCTTTATTCCCAGTCCTGGCCTGCAACAGCCCTCCAAGGCTGCAGAACACTGATGGATGAAAAGAAGGGTCTCCTTTTCTCTTAACCTTTGCACAGCGTGAAATCTCCTTCCGGAGATGATGCCAGAGACTGGCCTTCAAACCAGCACAGCAAACAGAAGCAATAATGACAGCAACACACTCTTGCCACTAACTCACTGCTGAAACTAGTTACTGGCCGCCTTTCTCTACCTCAGTTTCCTTCTCTTTAAAGTGGTGATCACATCCTAGCATCCTCTTCCTGCAGTTTACCTCCTAAGATTAATGCAAGGATAAAAAGGAATTAACTTAGAACAGTGTCTAGGACATGGCAAACAGTAAGTATCAGTGATTATTAACACAAGTGCATGTGAATTGTCTCATTTACTCCTCAGAGAATCAAGTGAGGCAGTACAGTAGAGAACCGTGGATCTTAAGATACAGTCCCCAGAACCAGCAGCATCAACATCTGGAAACTAGTTAGAAATGCAAATTCTTGGGCCCTATTGTGGAGTCAGAAACTCTAGGGCCCCATAATATACACTCTCCAGGTAATTCTGCTACAGACTAAAGTGTGGGAACCACTGGCTTCAAAGTTAAGAACTCGAAATCTGGCATCAAAAAGATCTGGGCTCCAGTACCTATTCTGCAACTTAGTATCAAACCTACACCAAGATATTAGCTTAAAAGTCCTGATTTCCTTAAAAGGGAGTGGGAGGAAAAATTGTAAAGTTTAAGTAAGAACTAAACAGCCTGACAAATGGTAGGCTTCAATACATGTTAGATGAGGGAGATGAATCTCAAACATGCTAAGCGATGTGCCCAAGAAAGGCAATTTGCCGTATTTCCTTTGCAAACATTGAGTGTATCTGGACCTAGGTTGAATTCAGTACAAAAAATGGTGCTCCTAGAATTGCTCTCAAATTCTATCTGATGTAAAAAACTGCCCAGTGAAATTGGTTTTTCTTTTGACAAAGGAATTAGATACCACATTTTAAAAATCCCCACACCCTAGAGGTGGTCTTGCCTACATACACTTCTCTTTGACTACCTCACTAAAGCAACTAGACATAGCTCCTGTGCCAGGTCACCTTGCATATTCTTCTGTTTGATGATTCTCTTCCCCTAACTCATTCATCAATGTTTCCTAAAAGGGTCATGCTTCCTAAGGAAATGGAGAATAAGGAAACATGAGAACAGTGAGCTTAAGTTACAAAAGAAAAATATCAGACCAGTTTTATTCTGCCACTAACTCCACATGCTTAAGCAAGAGTATAACATGAACATATGTGTTACTCTTTGGATAAAAGAAAGCTATAAAAGCTTCAGAACATGTGCTATGATTACAAGTTAACGGTACTTTGATTACATTTGGAAACAATCCAGTTTGTCCCATTAACTGGTCAGCAGATAATAAGCATTTAATTGTCATTTTTCTAAGACTAGAATTACATCTATAAGTATACATGTAATTTTGAACTCAGTGAAAATTCAGAAGTTTCCATTCCTGAAAATTTTAATGTAAAAATTTATTTGCCATATTATTTCAAAATTAATGTAATACTTTATTGTCTGTATATGAATACATATTTTTCTCTGAACTCTATCAATAAGTAAAGCCATTAAAAACCTACGTATAAATCTTGATATTTTAGAATGAAACTCATCCAAATTATAAAATATAAACAGAATGACATTCTCTGGTATCAAACAAATTAAGCACCCAATTATGCTTCTATACGGATAAAGAAAAAATATTACTATGATATACTAAGAAGTAACACAAAGCAAAAAAAAAAAAAAAGATGTTTTCCAAAATTAAAACAATATAAAGTAAGACAAATACAGTGAACTGAAATGTTAATTAACTCCTAAATTTCTTCCTCTTGTTTTACACAAGCTGTCTTGATCTTTCTATGATGCTAAGGAAGTAAAAATGGATGGGGTTTTGTTTCTTATTAGTTCCCCACAAAGGAGCAACAACATGCCAAAAAGGCCTGAAATTAACAGGAGTCTTTATGCTAAATTCCAGAGATTATGCTTTGCTTAAAAAACCATCTTCCTTTGTACCTTTTCTGAAGTGAAGAAAATGGTAATTTACTTTAGCACTTTGCCAAAATGTACATACAAAATTTAAACCTTGCATGGAATTCCTCTCCTTGTTGGCATTATATCATTCTTCTACAGCCACTTAGTATTTATTGTACCTGTCCTAAGACATGAGATGCCACACAGAGACGTATGCATTCTTCATAATTATACAATGGTAAATACTGTGTGAGTTGCAAGCACCACTCCAGAAAAACTGAGTCTGTACTAATTGCACTAAATGAAAAAGCACTTGAGAAAGAAAGCCATTTCAGGTTACTAAAACTCTTGGCACAATTCAGTCTCCCAAATGTATAGCTTAGCACAAATGTCGTAACAGTTATTTTTTACTTCGTAGCAACTATTGTTTTCATTGTTTGGCTAATTCAAAACCAAGTTCATACAGTCAACTGTCTATGATTACCACAGAATCAGCCCGCACAAACATTACCGAACCTTCTAAGAGAACAGGGGAGAAGGGTGAATTTTAAAGGGAGGGTAAAACACTAGAAATCTTTTTTATAGTTCTAGAAGAATGTTTATGATGTTGATTAGTTCCCTCAAAACAACTTCTAACTGTTTACCAATAGAGAAACTAGAAACACAGAGAACCAAAAAAGGGGGCGAATAATAGAAAACAGTGAACAGAGGCAACAAGAAAAAAATGGCTTTTAAGATAAATTATGCAACACCATTTCATAGGACTATAACAAAATTAGTTCCCTGACTTTCAGGAAATTAGCTTAAATTGTTAGAAAGAAGTCATATTAGATAGCACAATTTCCAGAAAATAAAGATTAGGTATTAAAACAGGTCACAATGGAGAGAATCATCTCTTTCTGAGATCACACTTTTATCTTAAAGCAAGAGAACAGACTGGACAATATCACAAGGTTCCAATCTACCTTAATCCCCATATTCTTCCTGCCAATGAGAATATGGGGATACCCTTTTAGTTGTATGGTAACTTATTGTTTATAAGAAGTTATTCAATCTTTTAAATATCATCTTGTGACATACTAATTGCTTAAGAAAGAAAAGAAACTAATTTTATTGGTTGTCTGTTAAGTGCCAGAAACGATGCAAGGTAGTTTCAAATATTGTCTCATTTAATCCTAACAACAATCCTTTGAAATGGGTATTTCTACTCCCATGTTTTACAGATTTAATTCTGAATGTAACACATACAGAACTGTATGTTTTATGTGGCACAGTCCTACATTTTGGGCCCTGCCTGTGTGCAGTGGTGGGATACAACAAGGAAAGGACTGGGTCCTTGTCCTGGGGAGCCCAGGGGAGGGCAGCCAACTAGTTAACTGAAAGTGTTATGCTAGGACTTGGCCAGGAAGGCTCTTGGCCCACTGTAGCGGGTCAGGAAGGAGATCACTGCTCAAAGATTTAAATGATTCACTCAGTATGACAGAGCTGGCAAGGCACATAACTAAGTAGTCTCATCAGGATCCTTTCTTCAGATTTAGTTTGTATCGTCTTTGCACCTGCAAAGTACAAAGATGATACAAACAGTTTTCACTGTTCCCCTGCAATGGTCCAAAGTCTGTTCTTCCTACAGTTTTTACCCACGGGCATGAGTTTTGTTCCCCAGCACCCAAGAGAACTAGCTGAATACCTCTTTCTCGTAACAGCCTTTCAAATATCTGAACACAACAACAATCTTGTCTCCCATGTCTGCTCCCCCAGAAATCAAGCACCTCAACTCCTCTCTGCATGTTTCACATCTCTTCTCCACCCAAGCCTGCCAATCTTCGGCCCTCCCCCATCCACTCCTCTCG